TAAAACAAGTGAAGCGAAAAATACTATGGTTACAATATGTCGAAATTATTATCGTGGAAATTTAACTGAATTAGCAAATATTGATGAATTTGATCAAACGTATAAATCAACTGATGCTATACCATGGTATATGAAAGATACATTTATTAATAAGTAAGGTTATTAAAAATATACAAAACAAAAATATTTTATTTATAAATATGTTTCTTTTATATTTAGATTTATTAATAAAGCACTTCGTACAGAAGATGTTAGTGTTTTATATCAATTTCGTTTTTATATTATGGATTTAAGTGAACAACTAGAAATGAAATTTTTAGAACTTAAAAAAAAACAGAAAGATGTTCTTCGACTTTATCGATATTCACAATTAAATTGTAATGAAGTAAAAAATTTTCAAAGAAATATTGGAAATTTAATATCAACAAATGAATATTTATTAACAAGTAATCAACGTTCAGTTGCATGTGATTTTGCAATAAAATCACCTAAAAGAGATGATTTTGAACGAGTTTTATTTGAATATCAAGTTGATTTAAATATTGTTCAAACAATCGTTATTGCTGATGTTCGAGAATATTCAAAATTTCCTGAACGAGCTGAATTTCTAATTGATATTGGTAAGAAAAGTTTATTTTTCGATGTTAAGATATTTTTTCTAACTCCTCTAATTTGAATAATTCAAATGATCAATTTGAAGATTTATTCTTGTCATTCAATCTATTAAAATACTTAGATTGAGATAGTTATTTATTATAATATTCAATGCCTCTTATTACAACGTTTGAATAACGTGACTATTGAAAAAATCAAAAAATAATTACTAATCTATGAGAAAAGAATCATCTAGAAGTGCTCTGGTTTTAAACTCAATTTTGAGGAATAGTTTGTATAATCACTTTTTTTTTCGAAATAAATTTTCATAATTTTTGTCATCATATTTGGATGTTTGATAGAGAATACTATAGCCAATGTAATCGCATAATATTACTAACAGATTATCGGAATAGATTTATCAAAAAAAAATTGTAAGCAAAATGTGTGACATAGGATTTTCAAATTTATATATTTCATATAGATAACAATGAATTTATATAGAAAAGTAGTATCCTTAGTGTCTATCAAGTACTCTACTAACTAAACCTACAAGTTCTATTTTCAAGAATTGTGTTTAATTAAAGTTATTCACTATTATCGCCTGCATCTATATTGATATCAACATTTTTTTATTTTATTGTCGATTTCTCAATAATGCTTTGCATTTTTTAATATGATATATACATTTCTTTGACAAAATATCATCATTAATAAACTTTCTCAATATCTATGTGTAAATATGCTTCTTTGTTTAACTATCTTAACTTATAGTCGTCATGCTCAGTATCATCATTAGTAAAATTTCAGTTTGTAAACCAATAACTATTTCTTTTATAACTATCCGAAAAAGAACAATTAATCACATCACATTACTATGTGTACAGTAAACACGCAAACAAAAAGAATATAAGAAATACGTGACATTGATACAATAAAAAAAAAAAGAAGATACGACAAAAGTCACATATGTATAAAATTATGAATCATTTCTATTTACTAATTGATGACGTCCTTTAAAAACAAGATTGATTATAGCGAGGCGAAGTTTCTGTATGATCATAGTTATAATACATAATAAATACCTTTTATTGCATGGAAAAAGAATATTAAAAACTGCAAAATTCTTTCGTTGTATAATCTAATTCAATATCTTATAAACGAAATTCTTGTTTTCTTTTATATAGGAGCAGTTTTTCAAATTGATTCATGTCAATACAATGTCGAAGAAGATTTATGGCATGTTCAAGTTCATGCAACTGATCAAAATGCTGATTTAGCTGCTGAATATGTGGAATATCAAGCGAAAAAAATGGCTGAATCAAATATAATTCTAATGTTTGGTGATTTACTTCTTGAAATGGGTGATTATGCTAAAGCTGAATCATATTTTGATACAATTCTTAATTCTTCAAATCCAAATGATGAAGAAATTGCTTGTATATTTTTTAATTTTGGTCGTACATATCAATTAAAAGGTGATTTTAATCATGCAATAAATTGTTATAATCGTGCATATAATTTACATATGAGTGCTCGACCAAAACGTTTAGCAAGCGCAGGAAAAACTTTGAATGGTCTTGGAATTGTTTATAGTGAACAAGGACGACAATCAAAAGCAGAAGAATGTTTTCAACAAGCTTTGAAATTATTTAAGAAAAGTATTCCAAAAAAACATATTGATGTTGCTGGAACATTACTTAATTTGGGTACTATTGATTGTGATCGACAACATGTAAGACGACAAAAACAATAAGAAATTTTCAAATAAATCTAAATTTCTTTTTTTTTCTTTGCACTTTGTTTAGTATGATGAAGCAATAGTTAAATATCATAAAGCAAAAAAAATTTATGATAGTTCTCTTCCATCTTGTCATCCAAATCATGCAATAGCAAGAATTAATTTAGGTAACGTTTATTTAGCTTCTGAAGATTACTCAAAAGCTTGTGAAGAATATGAAATTGCATTGAAATTACAACAACAATCATTACTAAGTGATCATCCAGATATAGCTCGTACATTACATAATCTTGCAGTTGTTCAAACACGTCTAGGAAATATTGAACAAGCAAAACAATATTTAGAACGAGCAGAAGAAATAGCTGGTCATACATTATCATCAAAACATCCACTTGTGTCTTCAATTCGAGAAACAAAAGCTCTAATGGCAGAAGAAAGTTGAAGGATATATGAATACGCGACATTAAAAAAGTTATTTTTTTTTTTTGAAGTTTAACAATGTTTTATTTTACACTTTTCTTATGTCTTTATCTTTTTTTATAAATATCAATTTTTCAATTTAAAATTCTCCAAATTTAATATTTGGTTGAATAAAATTCAATATTTTAATATGCGAAAATTAATAAATTATATTTTTAATTGTATGTTTATCTTTTAAATATTCCATCCTTCATTTGTAAATCGAATATCATACAAGCCCTTAAAAGAATAAAAAAACAAATACATTATTTTAAAATTAAATAAAAATAAAAAGTCAAAGAAATTTTACTTGATATAGTGAGAGACCAGCGTTTTGAGTTGATAAAATCCATGCATCTTCATCTTCAGATTCATTATAATGTAAATGCTACATACAAGGTGATATTATAAATGCTGCATCTAAATCCTCTTCAATCAATGTATTTTTCTCGAATATTTTCTACTTTAGTTTCTAAGACATTTTCTTGAAAAATTATTGTTAAAATAAAGACTTTTTCTGATGGTTTTACTCAAAGATATTTAAGTAATGATCCATCATGTACATAATGAAATACTGTATCATCTTGTGTGAAATGTTCTAATGGTTGTATTTGATATGAAATAATAAGAAGATCACCTTTTAACCAATTAATGTATTCTTCGTCAAATATTTTTGTTGTACCATGACTATGAATTACACATAAACAAAGATATGAACATGATAAAAAACAATCTTGTTTAAATGAATCATTTTGATTAATATGAATATAACCGGAAAGAAGATTTGAACAATTAGCTGAGTAATCAAGATCCCATGAAGATGATACTATAAATTTCAACGAAGAATTTATTTAGTTCTATATTAAAAATTTATAATCTAATCAAGTATCTTTTGTTAAATTGATTTCTTCGTGTAATTTAGCAGGACGAGATGTTACTGGTATTGATTTAAACAAAGACATTTCATATGCTGGTGGTCGAATATTTTTACTATATTCATAGAGTTCACTCGGATTTTTACCAATATGTACTTCACTATGTGAACTATTCATATCTGATACTAACACAAAAAAAATCAAAGACAGACAATTATAGACTGTAAGAAATGATCTGATGCAATACCCGTTGATATTTGATGATAATGTGTAGAACATCTATTTTCTATATGATGAAAGGAAGAGTTTTGTATAAGAACAAGAAGAGGTCATCAAAGACAATATTTATATAATCAGCTACAGAGTACTGTCCAAGGGGTAAAAGCCGAAAATTCCGTACTCCAAAAGAATGTCAAAGCTATTTCAAGTTAACTATCAATGCGTGTCACGAATAGAGTTCATCAGGTCTGAATCTGAAGTTTTCGTGTTGATTGGATCTAGAAAGGATGTGGATGTTAGTGTTGGCATGGATAATGACACGTTATTTATCCATACTCACTCATATCCCACTCACTATCAGATCTAAACATGATTCCTAATTAGATGATTATAATTGTTTATTTTAGTCCTTTAATCCTGTTACCCCCTAGAACCTGTTAATTCTTTTAGTCCATTTAGTGGTTTTATTGTTTTGTTTTTCTGGTCTTATCATGTCATCTTCTCGAAACAATATGATCTATCTTATATCAAATGTTTACTTGATGTTCAGAATGTCCATATTTGAAGGTCAAAATTTTGTTATTGATTAGCGGAAGAACAAATAACATATTATATCTTTTATATTGTTTTCGCTCGTTTCAATGGATTTTTTTCTAGAGCAACATGTTTGATGATTTCCTCTTTTTAGGGGTGTGTGGGTGTTGGTGCTTAATTCCTCTATACCCACACCCAAGTTGGGAATTGTCCCATATGATTATAGTATTGACTTGTATAGACACATTGTCTTAAATACAGTAATCATAACATCACATGAGACACGTACAGGTTTTAATTTCATAAGATTTATTGGAATATTAATTTCAGTTTATTGTTTTCTTTCGTGCAATGAATATTTTCATTAATCAAAAAGCCGATACTTTATTCATTTCATATATGACGATTCTTCTGATGACACGTTATTAAAATTCACTTTTGTCTTGCCGTTAAAATCTAATTTATTATTGAGAAAATTCTTTTGTTTATAAATGTAAAATATCATATGACAAAAAAAAAGAACAAAAATAAAATCTTTTGGCTATTTTAACTTTATTGATGAACTGTTTAAATTACAAATGTTAATAAATGCTATAATGTTTGATTGTATTGAATATCTACTTCGTGATAAAACCGATAAGGAAAATCTTGAATGTTTATGTCAACTTTTACGTTCTATTGATAAAGAAATTGATACAGAAACTAATCAAAATATATGTTCGTTTTTGTATATTTAACTGTTGAACTTGGAGTTTTATTTTAGTTTACAAAGAAATCGAATTTGGAAAAATATTATCGTGAATTGGGTGTGGGTGTGGATGAGTGTGCGTGCGGGTGCAGATTTGGTATTCATTCACACCCACACCCTAGTTCTGAGTCGCTGACTTTTCCGTAATTCATTATAGCGTTTTGGAAATAATATCAGGCGTTTGTTTCTTCATTCAGTTCTTCAAAGGCAATCGCTATATTGTGGCAACTCCCAGCAAAAGCAAAATGATTAGCTGGATCAGTCATCGACAAAGCAATTTTGAAATACTCGATGCTCTGTTTATGATTTCCCAGTTGACCTGCGATGATGCCACGTTGATTATAGCATACTGCTAGTTCGTCCGGCTGCAGTTCGCCAGAGATTCGTACGTAGTATCGTTCTGCTTCCATCCATTGGCCCATATCGAGTAATACATCACCCAATGCCAGTGGACCTTCGTTTTGATCGCTTCTGATAGACGCTTCGACATTCTTCAACTTGTGCTCATCCGCATCGCATAAAAGTAATCGAATAACGGTTCGCTCATCTTCTTGCTCGACCGACTGTACCTTAAAAATACTATTGATGGCAAAAAGTGCTTCTTTCTCTTCGGGAAAAGAAGAAAATGACGCGACATTAGCGAACGATTTTGCTTGGCGAAGATGAGTATCGACTTCAATTACAAGCAGAATGCGTTCACGACTACGGTTAGAGATGGAACTACAATCGAGGAACATCAACGCCAGACTCAAATCACAGCTTGTAGAGAAAAATGAATTGATCGATATAAGTTGATTGGTCAAAGTTCGGATTCGATCGAGTTCACCTTTGGACATTCATTGACCTCGATAGAGTTTCATAGTCGCTTTCGGCTGGTGTTGGTGCAAAAGTCGAAGTCTTTCATCGAGGTCTCGGATGAAAAAAGCATAAAAAAGAATGACATCGATTCTTCGTGTTCGAAGAGCCAGATTCAATCTCTCATAAATAAATGGTTCTTTTGTGTACCTATAACGAAGACATTCGAGAAAGGATGTCTGACATTCCATCATGATTACCAGACTAGATCATTTTCTTTATTGTAACATTCTTCAAAACGAGTGATCTTGCTCAATGTTGCTTCATTTTCGTGATGTTCTTGACGACAGTGTTGGATAAATTCACTCATTTCATGTGGCTTTATTTTCATCTGTAGAATAACATCAATCAGACGTTGAAAATGGAGATAACCACCATCGATTGCTCTGGATGTTCGTCCATCGTTACTCAAGATGCTGATAGGAAGTGGCTCGTTTGCTCGTATTCGACGTTGATTTATGTTGCTCTGATCGATGACTTGATGGACACAGGATACTTGTCCGTTCATCTGAAAAGTGACAAAGCGTACGAAGGACTTGACAATGCTAAACTCGCTCAGACAGGATGAGTCTTTCACTGCTTTAATGTCCTGTCGGATTGATGCGGAATAATTTACCTTAGAAATTTCTTTCAGACAAACGCTATTAAATGTCCACGTCTGAACTGGAGGGACACAAGCTATTTCACTGGAATTCGACGATGTGAGTTTTACTTGTGTTTCTGAGGCAGTATTGTTGCGCATTCGCTTTTATCCGGCGTCATTTAATACTATCTGTATATTTAAGGTTATCGAATATCTTCCAAGTTGTCTTACGAAAAACGACGCGAAGTTTCTAAACAGTGGGCGATGATTTAGTTTCTCTCACATTTGTTTGTCGTAGGTTTACATTCAAGCTTCTGTCAAATAAGCAGAGTTCTGTCGCTGTCGCTCTCCGTCTCACTACGTGATTTCGATTAGATTCTTGATTACGTCAGTAAGGTCGAAGAAAAACTCATGAAAGATATTTCACATCTTGAGGGTGTGGGGGTGTGGGGTGTGAGTGTGGATGTGGATGTATAAGTGTGCGTGTGAATAGAGAAAAGAAACACCCACACCTACAACTCGAGTCTTTTGTGCATTGATCTTCCATCATGAAGAAAAACGAACACAGGCATCTTCCAGTTTGAAACTTATAACAAAAAGAAGAAAGAAGTTATGTTGCTCAGTTGACGAAAATGTTGCAAAAGTAAAGATCAATTTTCCGCAAAAAACATGTTGGCAATCATCAACAACGATCATCAGACAATCGTCGAGGAAAAAAAAGGATTGTTGGCCTACAATCGAAAAAATTGATTCCTATCTCAATTCGGTAATTGCCTATGATATTGCAAAAAAAGCAAAATTGATGTTTTCTTCAGGTAGTCTTCAGCCAGCATGAGATTATATAAATATGACATAAAATTTACTAATAATATCACCAGAGCAGAATTTAGGAGTATATATCTCATTTGTTTTTTTTACATTGGAACTCATTTCTTTTCCATTTCATAAACTGTTTAGATCTTTACCCAAGGAAATAATGTATGAACTCTCGCAAAAAAAGTGTTTGATTAATCAGAGCTAGTTTTTTTGTAAGAGTGACGGAGTTTCTAGGCAAATGATTGCCAATTGGCTTGTTTCATCAAACATTCGTGAAGAACGTGTGTTGTTCATCGCTGGAGGGTGCTTCTTGCAACGAACACACGTATGCTTGTGATTTTCGCTCTTTTTCTGTCCTTCAGTTATGTCAACAATCATCTGTATAGATGTAAGATTTGTGCAATGTTTCGACGGCGTGAAAAAACATTGCCACGATTACAAGGCTTTGCCATGTGCGTATCGCATTTCGTTAGTCGTGCCATAAATCAAAATATTCACTAATGCGTATGCATATGTGTATTTCATGATCAGAGAATGAGTGAAAAAACAATTAGTCAATATTCGCCTTGATACTTTTTTTCTCTCTCTCTCTCATAGTGCAATAATTCGTCGACTCATAAAGCAAACACAATTTTTATTCATTTCTGTCAAACCATCGGCCTTCTATACATATTTGTATTGAAGTTAAGAATAAAATTTCGTGTTCGAATCAAATTTTTATACTTAGCTTTCGTCACTATGCACATTGTATTTCGCTTGCTGTTGATCGTTGCACTAGTCGTCATCCTCGTTCATAGCCAGGGTGCTCGTAGTGGAAGTCGAGGTGGTAGTCGCTATAGAGGTAATTATTTCATATCAAACATTATGAATTTTCTTGAGAAAAGTATTGGTTCTAGGTGGTACAAGTTATGGAAGTGGCTGTCAAGGTTCAGATTGTCGCATAGTAGGAATTGTCGTAGGCAGTGTAATAGGTGGTATATTCGGTGTAATCGCAATCATCTTTCTCATTATCTTTTGTTATCGTCGATATCGTGGTCG